CACACACACACACACACACACACACACACACACACACACACACACACACACACACACACACACACACACATACATCCCACACACTCTAAATGACATGGTACTTATGCTGCCATAAAGATGGAAAGTGGGGATGGGAGAGGTATTGTACATTCTTTAGATTCTCAAAATCCATTAACTTAAACTGAATTACCATGCATAAGGTCAAGTGTAATCCCATTAACACCCGTCGCGCACCAGAGAAAAAAACTTGACTGGTCTAAAACACTCTCTTAAAGAAGTTGTTAATGCCTGCTATTTTCAATTTGACTAAAGTTTGTTGTTGATGACAATGTACCTTATTAAATCTTTCTGGACTCACCTACACAACACACACAGACACACAAACATACTTTTTATCTAATAAATTAGACCCCCCCCCCACCCCCAAACTCACAATTCTGAGAAAAAAAGTCTGAATTGTGAGATATAAACTCACAATTGCTTGAAAACAGTCTTGTTAGATTTAAATAAAAAAATCGCAATTATCTTTTATAAAAAAAAAATTTATTCTGTAGAGGAAACAGAATTGCAAAATGTAAACTCAGAATTCTTAGAAAAAAGTCAGAATTGTGAGATGTAAACTCAGAATTACAAGAAAAAAAAGTCCGACCTGTGAGATAAAAGTCACATTTATATTCTGTGGCAGAAACAGGCTTCCATAATATTTATTCAACGTCATAGCGTTTCTTTGTTTCAAATGTTTCAAAATCCGAAGCTTTCAGTTTATTTTCAGGTTAAAAAAAATCCCAGATGTGGTCTCAGACTTTTGGTGCCCACTGTTACACTGTATTCTAAAGCATACTCTACATGTATGCAACCAAACAAGGTCCACAGTACAAGGTGCAGAGTTGCCTTTATCAAGGAGTCATGCATACACTGCATAGAACAAATTATTAACAGGGCAGCTTTTTGAGCCGATCAAGTATACCCCCTCTGCCATTACTCATTACTTTCAAAAGGCTTTAAGAGCTGATGCTTAAATTGCAACAGTTTGTACAACAGTGAAACAAGAGAAGATCCAAACACACACTCCTCCTGCAATGTGTGTGTATCACCTGACACTTCAGACAGACTTTCTCAAGTGCAGTTTGGCCTTCTCTGTAGTCCTGTCTAGAAACAGCCCGCACTGCTTTTGATTTGGACAGACAGTGGCTGAAGGGTGTCTGAGAGACGCTGTCACTTTAAGCAATTAACTTTGCATTTAAAGCCACTCTTATAAAACTGACAGCTGCAGACATTCACAAAGGACCAATCACCTCTTCAGAAACACAAAACTGCTCTGCCGTAAAACCAAACGGGTTCTCTTTTATTGGGGTGGTCCGGCAACCCGTATACACCCCCCTCACTACCACAGACAGGCCTTCTTACAATGGGACCCTCTATTTCTTAATAACGCTCATGGACTTGGGACGCTCCAGGGAAAGGTTGTGGCCCCCAGAGACCTATAGAGAGCAAACTTTTAAAATGCCAGTAAAGTTGCACACATTGAGCCTCAAAACTAGCTGTTTACACTGGGATTCCAACATGCAGGAGGAATGTACATATAGGTGGCTTGAAAAATGAATATTGATATTGTATTGCAAAACAATTCCAGTTCAAGTTTATACAACATCCTTTGTACCATCACATATGTCATGAGTTATTACTTTCTAAATCTCAATGGCTACAGCCAAACTATGATTTTCCAGTTAAACATTTGAGAAACAGAGAGATGACAGAGGCTGATGTTGTTTAAGAGGAGCTCAGGTAAAAACAGACTACCTTTGCACTCTATCATGACCGCAGCATATAATCACCAAGCAAACCAAAGAAAAGAAAGACCTTGATAAATCCGAGATCTAGTAAAGTCTTCAAATCTCAACCGGACTCAGAGCTTGGTGTACCGCCCTTTGAAGTGGTTGAGATAACTACTGAAGTATGCTGCTGACATCGATTTGTTGAGCTTTCATGGCAAGCCATTTTAACATTTATTCCTTTAAATTGATTATAATATTTAATACTTATATTACTAATAGTGTAAATATTAATTAACAAATTGTACTTACTATAAAATTATGGTTAGGGTTTGGTTTAGGGTTAGTTGCTTTTTGATGCATAATTTACAGTTATTACTATAGTAAATACATGCAAATAAAGTGTTTGCCAGGAATTTTAATGAGGCTGTGAGAGATAGAAGTACAAAGCTTTTAGTGTACCGTTCTGTTGTTTAACAATATACTGATTGTTCAGCCAATGATACGTCTTTCCGGAAAAAAAAACGAGTCACTTTATAGTAAGATTCAAATATTACCAGTAACAACCGGAATACAAAATACAGTTAATAAATAGGTATAGTGTCTATTAAATTAGTACTAAGAAACCTGGAATGAAAAAAATACAATAAAAAAATACAATACTAATCATTTGAATAGTTAGAAGTAGGTAACTAGCACCTGATAAATTACTAGTAAAATTGCAATAGCTAGGTCTACAAGTAACAACTGGAATACACACTAGTAGTCTAAAGTGAGTATTTTAAATTTGAACCACAGATCCCCATTGAATTAAATGACGGGGGAAAATCAATTTATTACCAGTAACAATGGAATACTAGTTCTCACTGTTAACATAGTGACGACAAGCAAATGAAATAATTAAATGCATAAAAAGTACTAGAGACGTAAAAATAAATGCTCGTTAGTGTACAGAAGTAATTGTTAAAACAGCTTGCCATAAGCGTTTAGAGTGATAAATGTGACAGCGCACAACTGAAGAACGAGTGCGCTTCAATAAATGATTAACATTCACTTTGACTGAAGTCATCGAGTCTGCACTTCATGAATTATAAGTCACTTATAATTAATTGTGATTTAGTTAATTGATTTAGTAGCACCCCTTTATCCTATTATTATACTGATGATCACAAATACATCATACATATAAACTTATTATAATAGTGACAATCTCGCTCATCACCGTTTTATTAACTATAGTAGCTCGCTTGCTTATTACTTCTATTTCATTCCCTTTACCTGCCCACGAAAATGAAGAAATGTTACTATTTTAAGGAAAACAGGTTTAAGACACTCATACATATATGAACGTAAACATGCAGAATAGTTTTGTTTCGTTCAGCACTTCTGAGCAGAAACTGGTAGATGTCTGTATCTCTGCATGACATTAGCCTTAACATAATAGAAACCATATTTCCCTAGAGTCAAACTCACCTAGAGACAAGAATGGTTTGGTTTCCATATTAGCGCATGCCAGCTTTGTTTCTTGCAAATTATGATTTATGTTCCCCAGTGGATCCAGTAGGAAACGTCGTCAGACTGAAGCCAGAGATCCGCTGTCAAAATCCACTTAATATAACTAAAGTATGTACTTCAATCGGCTCCATCCAGTTTGTAACTCCGCGAGGGCGCTCGCTCACTTACTCCCAGTATTCCTTCAGCGATCAAGCACTGCCTCACCATAGGGACCCTACCGAGGGGGACTCCGACCACCAGCGCTTTTACAGCGACAAACCCGTTCTACCTTTTACAATGTGGTACTGGTACTGTTGCAAACACCCCCTCCAGACTGTAAGACAATAACATCAAAATGTGTACTTAATATTTTTTACTGGTATGACTATAGACCTTATTCGTTTTAGATGTCATATTAAGTTAAATGAAAAGGAGGCTATATATGAGGGATAGATTTACAGCATTTACAATGGCATGCACTGTATCCACTTTATTAATATAAGAGTGGGTGTGGCCATTTGTAATTTGCATGTGCAAACTTCCGGTGTCATTCAGTTATTTTAGCTGTACAAAAACAGTCCGTTTTACTGCTTGATATTGCAAACTGGTATTTCTTAAAATTTTGTATTTATTATCATATTACACACACATTGGTTTTTAGTGTAAATAGTTTTGCCATCTACTGCACTTTCTTAGTTGTTCTTAGTTATTTACCTATGACAGTTATTTGCCTAAGACTTTCACATTTGCAGAAAAATATCTTTCTTCTGCACTGCAAAATAAGGTGGACAAAGGCCCTAGATCATGTAATTTTCACCAACTCATAACTTTCAAAACTGGAGTTTTTGTCTCCTGAAGGTTTTTTTTGGAAATATATTTTGTCTTATAAGTAAAAAAAAAAAAAAAGTACAATACATTGTAACTCGATCCTTCACAGCCTCTTTTTCATGATGCCCAAAATGTCATATGGCGTTACGCCAACTAAGGTCTTACATGTTATGTTAGGGGAGAAAATATTAATTTGGTTTATCTTTGATGAGAAATTAAAACTATCCTGTTTTTCACCCTGCATGAATAAAATTTATCTGGACTACTTTCTCTTTCCTGTTTGAACAGGACTGACAACCTCAAGGTTGTCTATCTATAGGAAAACTAAATGTGTTGTGTGTCTCACTGGTGTCGAATCCTCCAGGGAATTCCTCATTAATTCATGTACATGGCACATTAAAGATGTTAAAAACCATTCATTAGCATTATGAAACAAGTATTTAAATGAATATGCATAGATTAATATAGATAGAGGGTTTTACTCAATGCCAAGGGGGAATTAATTATAATGTGTGCTCTTTTACATTTAAACTAAACATGTTCATCTGTTCTTGTTATTTTACTAAAATAATTTTAAATAGTTTAAATACCTTGTTTAAACTGCGTTAATGTCAACCAGTTTCGGGGAAAAAAATGAGGCAAGCGCAGTGTTTTCTTATTCCTGTGTATGACAGTAGAACTTAGTTTGGTCAGTGGCGGTCTTAGGTTCACTTTCCTCACTATCGATCAGGAGTTAGAAACAGCCCTGAGGTCAGTCTGTCCTGTTAACTTCAATAATCATGCAAGAAAAAAATATAGAGAAAAATAAGAGAGACAGAAAAAAAATAAAGGATATATATATTATTAAATTTTTTCAAGCCTCTTTATCACTTGGCCGTTACAGGTTTTGTAATTACTCTGTCAGAATAAGTCTATACTCTCAGGAACTATGCTTTCCTATAGAGATTTATTAACTGTGATAGTGCAGGCCAACAAAAAGCACAGTTGAAATGAGCACACCACACCCCTCAAAACAGGAGCAACTCCATCAAACAGTGGTATAATCAAGGGTTAGTGATAAAAAACCAAAATCCTTGTGCAGTGTGACTTTCTCAGGGAAACAAATTGAGATGTGTCTCACTGACTGATCTCTTAAGGATCAACGCCAAGTGCAGGGGCTCAGTGGCAGGAGTGATTTAGTGCGTCTCACTCTCTCCGCCGGTCAGCCACTGTGGAGGAAAGAGAGGGACAATCAGCCTCATCATAAATCTCTACACTTCCTCCCACCATCAACAGTTCAAGAGAAATACCCCCCAACCCCCTCGTACACAGCCCATTAAACCTGTTTGCCCCCGGACACACACACACACACACTCACACTTAGACAATCTGCCGAGGTCCAACACAGCAGCAAGTAATCAGTCATTTCAATGCATTCATCATGAGAGTTCTTAAAAAAAAAAGTGTCATGAACTAAATATAAAAATGTTTGGACTGATGGAAGCATTATAGGCAAGGCCGCAATTAAAGGAACAGCTCATGGAAAAATAAACATTCTGTATAATTATTTATTTACAATCATGTCATTTCAAACCCATATGCTGTTAATTTTTCCATTGAACAAAAAAGTAGCTTTTCAAGAAGACTTTGGATGTAACTTACGTCATTGAGTGAATCAAACTTCTATCTATCTATCTATCTATCTATCTATCTATCTATCTATCTATCTATCTATCTATCTATCTATCTATCTATCTATCTATCTATCTATCTATCTATCTATCTATCTATCTATCTATCTTTGGTGCTTCACAGTTCATGTCATATGGAAAAGAGAAGTGTTTACATTTCTTAAAATGTGATTTAAAAAATAAATAAATAATAAAAACTGATTTTCTTTTAGTTTAACTTGTACTAAAAGAACTAGAACTAAAATTAAAATATATCTAAAATATGTTGATTTTGTGCTCAAGAAACATTTCTTATTATCAAAGTTAAAAACAGTTGTTCTGCTCAATATTTTTGGAGAACTATGAAACATTTTTTCAGGATTCTTAAAAAGAACAGTATTTATTAGAATTTTTTACATTAAATTATAAATGTCTTTATTGTCAGTTTTAATCAATTTAATGCATCCTTGCTGAATAATAATACTAATTTCTTTTATAAAATTAACATTGCATTTTCATTTACTAATAATTAACATTTTTACATTTACATTTACTAATTTAATTTTTACATGTAATTTTAAATATTTTGGGTCATTCTTTAACTTTGGGCTTACAGTTATATTTTATCAAATCCATCTCTCAGTCAGATTATCAGATCTCTTTTATCTTTTTACACTGCACGATTTTAGTCCGATTTTTCACTCGCAGACAGGTTTTGCGAAATCGCCGACAAATGCCCCAAATTGGAGGCAAATCGGTGCTCGTTCACGTGAGTGACAATCATGCAGTGTGAATTATCAAAGACGCAATCTGAGGGAATCGCCGACACGTCGCCGACGCCTGCAAAATATTTGGCATGCTAAATATCTGGAGCTGTTGGCGATTCACTGAAAACTACATTGGCGATGACGTACAGCCAATGAGACACCAAGATACAGGGCAGAGGGAAGTTAGGGGAGGAGTTATAGGCCAGAATATCAGTATTTTAATAGATATATGAACAATTATATCATACAGAAACAAGCACAAACATTTGCTTGACCAACCACAACATCAGCCTAACCTAACAGTTACTGCAAAATTATTTACCTCCAACTCTCTTTGCAGAACACCCAATCCCTATTGCCTGCATCTCCCTCCTGCATAATCTGTTTTTCTTTTTCTCCTTGTAGCTGGAAATCAGCTCACAGACAATTTGCAGGCTATATATATATTATTTAATAATTCCAGTCTCGCTCGAGAACTCCGACGCACGCGGGTTCTCGCGTTATTTCCTTATCACTTCTCGCGTGTGTTTTGTTGTGAAACGTAGTTTGCGGACCAGACAGAGCTGTCGGCGATTCTTCCTATTGTGAAGTCATGCAGTGTGAAACCCCCTGTCGCCGATCCATCGTGCAATGTGAACACAGCAGCAACTGAATGCTACCCCAGATAGTCACGCAGTGTGAAAACAACAGCGATCCGACCAGTTTGAAAATCATGCAGTGTGAACTCGGCATTACTTACTACAACAAATGCTTTAAGATTCATGCTTTTATTCAAAACTCACATCCAGAATTTACAAGGGGTGCGTATTTGCCAGCAGAGCACAACACAAAATGAAACGAAAATACATAGCACTGAAATACATTGTTCAAAGCGCTGAGGCCCAGTTCTGCTGTATATGAGCTTCAGTATGAGTCGAAAGATTTACTGCTGTGAATAATTAGTAAGTGAAGTGTGGCCGACTTCTCCATAGTACTAGATACTTGGCACACTCTCTCCCTGTTTGCATCTCCACCAGTGTATCCAGATGGTCAACTCACTATGAACTCCCTGGGCTAGCTACACCATGCAGCCTGCATATTATTTATCAATAACTGCCGTCCTATCAGGTGCTGGGACACCAAGAGCACACTGCGGTTAGGAGACAGTAGGGGGGCAAACATGTAAACACACACACATATGCACACAGACAAGCGTGCATGAGTGTGGACCTGCACAGACATATGCATACACAACCACAGGCTCCGACACTGACCCAACATCTGCTTTTTATTAGCATCCAGCACACACACGCTCCCTCTCTGTCTCTCGCTCTCTCGCTCGCTCTATATACATTCACAACAACAGCCTGCTGTTGCTCAAAGAGCTGTCAACAGTTAGGACTTTCTCAAGACGTAAAAGACAGAAAGTGAGTGCGAGGAAGAGAGACAGAGGGACAGAGGCAAACAAAAGGGCACCATATGGAGAGGGTGCTTAGAAAACCACCTGGCTCTATGATATGAGTGCCAAGCCTGTAATGTGAACGGCCTGTCCTTAAATACTTAAGGTACAGATGCGACCGGTAGGTGAGACTAACCTTAAACTCTCTTAACCAAAAGAGCCTACAATAATAATATATGTAAAAAGTTGTAAAATTATGATAAACAGTGGGCTCTAAAAAGTATTTGAACATACTTAAAAACACTAGATATACTGTTCAAAATTAAGATAAAAATGTATTGTGACACTTCTGATTGTCAAATGTTTGTGGATCATGTTCATAGTTAATGTGATGAACGACATCTGTGTGAACCTGAGAACAGCTAACTTTATGTTGACTAAAACATGATTTTTTTCTGTGACTTGAATAAAATTAATGTTAATTTATTTGCGAAGGCAGCATTCTCATTTTCATTTAGTTCAACTTGATGT